TCGCTCAGTCGTGTCCAACCCTTTGCGGCCCCAGGGACCACAGCACACGAAGCCTCCCTGTCCATCGTCAACTCCTGGAGTTTACTCAAACTCATGTCCATTGAGTCGGTGAAACCATCCAACCATCTCATCCTCTGTCATCCCCTTCTCCTCCCACCTTCAATCTTTGCCAGCATCAGGGTCTTTTCAGATGAGTCAATTCTTCGCATCAGGTGGCCAAAGTATTGGAGTTTCAGCTTCAGCATCAGTCCTTCCAATGAACACCCAGGACTGATCTCCTTTAGGATGGACTGGTTGGATCTCCTTGCAGTCCAAGGGACTCTCAAGAGTCTTCTCCAACACCACAATTCAAAAGCATCAATTCTTCAGTACTCAGTTTTCTTTATAGTCCAACTCTCACATCCATACATGACTACTGGAAAAACCATAGCTTTGACTCTACAGACCTTTGTTGGCAGAGTAATGTCTCTGCTTTTTAATGTGCTGTCTAGGTTGGTCATAACTTTTCTTCCAAGGAGCAAGCGTCTTTTAATTTCATGGCTGCAGTCACCATCTGCAGTGATTTTGGAGCCCCCCAAAATAAAGTCTGTCGCGACTGAGTGGTCCCAGCAGATGACAGAATCTGCTGCTGCTCAACAGAGAATGCCGAGGGTAGATCTCTCTGAAGTGGAGACAGTTGAGCATTGACCTGACGGCAGTGAGGGGGCAGGAGCATTCCGGGCAGAGCAGGGAGCAAGTGCCAAAGCCCTGAGGTGGGAGCAGTCAGGTAGGCCTGAGTAATCGAGTTGGCCAGGGCAGATCGTGGGCATTCTATACAACAGGACCTTACAAGCTTTTGACTTCTATCCTAAGAGCAGTAGGAAACCACTGGAACATTTACATTTTAATTTCTTCTTAACCTTTTTTGGGTCATGAACTTCTTTAGCAGTCTGGTGAAGCCTGTGGAACCCTCTGCAGAATAATGTTTTTCAGTGCATAAAATAAAATCCCAGAGGGTGTTAAAGAAAATAATTATATGGAAATAGAAAGATTAAAGTCTCCTGTAAGGGACATGCATGTTCCAGTTTATATTTTCAAAGGGTTCTTCTGGCTGCTGCAGGGAGAATAGACTGTAGGGACCAAGGCTGGAAGCACAGACACCAGTGAGTGTGGAGGTAAGATCTTCTCATTTACCCTGTAGGGCCGTGGCCTCACAGTTGTGCAACACTGTCATTTTGAATGCAGGAAGAAACTTTGTTAACTTCTGTTTATATCTGTGTGTGGGGCAGGGGGGTTAGTTGCTCAGTCGTGTCCAGCTCCTTGTGACCCCATGGACTGTAACCTACCATGTTCCTCCATCCATGGAATTCTCCAGGTGAGTTTCTAGAGTAGGTTGCCATTTCCTTCTCCAGGGAATCTTCCCAACCCAGGGATTGAACCTGCATCTCCTTCATTACAGGCAGATTCTTTACTGCTGTGCCACTGGGGAAGCCCCTGTTTATATTTAAATGACCCTAATTCTTTTAAATTTCTATATTGCATGTATGTTTTATAACATGAGTTGGTGATGGACAGGGAAGCCTGGCGTGTTGCGGTTCATGGGGTCTCAAAGAGTCGGACACGACTGAGTGACTGAACTGAACTGAATGTGTTAGGACGTTAGTACATTTATATAATTTGTGGATTAGTCTACATGTATTGGAGGTACATGTTCAGAAGGCAATGGTGACAGTATTTTTTGATCAACCAAATGTGATGATCATGATGTAGGGAGAGTTACTCTGTAAAAAACTGAATAAAAGGCCACTCTGCTTTGGACCACATTGCATTTCAGAGGCCATTTTGTGGGAAAGCATGAATTCATGCCCTGCAGCATTAGTGAGCTTTAAACGTGAAATTGTATTCCCCATTCTATTTTTCCTGTCCCTCTGATTTCTGAACTCCCCCTCTTTCAGGCAATACTCCTTCATTTGGTTGAGTTCTTTCCTGGTTATTTTAAATTTTTTATGACCATTTGCAGAAATGGCAACTTGTGGGTTAATTAATCAGACGTTGGAAAAATAGCTTGACGAATCACTATAGCATAACTTGGCTAAACTGGCAGGGCAGAGGGGCTGTCCTCAGTGTTGTTCTGTGTAGCGCCTGCTGAAGCAGGAGACAATGTTAGGTGACACAATTCAGAGCCAAGTCCGGCTGCGTGTCGTTTCTGTCTTTGCAGCTGCAACAGGGACGCAGCCCCTGGAAGAATGCTGTGAAATAGCTACTGGGGAGAGGGCGCTTGGTTTGTGCCAGGAATTAACAGAGCATCCACATTATTTTCTGGGAAATAACTAAATCCTTGACATTACTTGTCAGCATAAAACAGAACGAAACTAGTTTTAAAAAATTCAGCAAGGGAAAAAGCAAACACTTGGAAATTAAAAAAAAAAAAAACAAAACCCAAAGACATCCACTTTAATCTCCATTTTGTCCCTGTCCTTCCTGTGTCCTTCAGAGTGTGGTTGCCTATGATGGACGGGCCTGTTCGATTGTGGGATTGATTTTGGGGACTGGATGTCTCTGCTTGTTGCTGCAGAATGTCGTGGCATCTCCAGAGGCCTCGTTGTTGCTTTTGAGGTGTGTTAGGTCCCCAAGGTTCCAGGACCCTCCGGTGTTACTTGTACGTGAAGGCCTTTTAGGAGTAAGGGGCACTTGGAATTCTGAAGCCTTTGGTGCTTCAGTCTCCATTTCTTGTTGCTGTGTTTGCCAGATTGCCCTGCAGTCACAGAGGCTCAAGGGTGATCAATAGCATTAAGTAAATGATGCCAACAGGCCTCTCTGGTACTCTCTCTCCAACTGGGGTCTCTTAGTTCCCCTCTAAGATCCCACTCATTCGGAGCAGATCTAAAGGACATGGTCTTTCTGGTCCATTCTCCATCAGTATACTGAGGTAACACTTCAGACTTAAAAGAATCTCCCATTTTTCAACATTTAGGTTGACCAGAGTGATTCCAGGCTCAGCAGGCTGGAGCCTGAGTCCTGGAAGTTTGTATTGACCACCATTTAGACCTGTCTCTTCAGCCGCCTCTGAGAATACAGGCGAATGGGGAGGGATGGGCATTCAGATTAACTAACCATTTACCTTGCACCAGGCTCCAGAAATGCCTGATACACAACACCTTACGTCAGCCTCACCATAGACACAGGAATCTCACCCCCCATTTGACAGACGGGGACCCTGAGGCCTGGCGCCTGTAACGAACAGAATAAGATCCCAGCTGTGCTAACTCCGATGCTGACCTGACCCCATCACGCTTCACCTTCTCTCTCTGCAGCAGGCACACTTTTCTAAAATTGTGGCTGTAAGGATCCAGAAGGTGAACTTTTAACACCGCTTAGTGATTTTTTTTTTTCCTGGTTTCCAAAACTGAATGGGTTTCCTCCTGTGCCTCTGGCCTTCCTTCATGTCCTCGTGGTTCAGTTGAAAAGAGATACCTGTATTTCTCATTCCTCTTCTCCATGGGTCTTACAGAGCAGCGGCTCACTAGGGCACCGATTTAATGAAATAAAATTTTCAATCCTGTTTGGTTCCATTCTAGGTGATACAAATAAAGAATTGTGAACACTTTGTAGTTAGGTTTAAAGGGAAGGAGAAAGGTGGAAAGAAGAAAGTGGGTCAAGTATAGTATTTGGGCAAGGTCTCCTAACTGCTGCCTAGTGAAGGTTGAGCTATTAAAAATGGAGAAATAGTGGGGCCTCCGTACTACTTTGGCACTTGTGTATCTGGAGATTTCGGGTTTGGCAGTTTATACGATTTACCAGTTAGGTTAATCATATCTATGCCAGGCGTTGTTCTGATAAATACTTAGTGCATGTGTACATTAATTTATCCTCTCCCTTTGAGGCACATACTACTATTATCTGTAAAAGAAGACAGAGGCACAGAGAGGTTTATCATCTTTCCCAAGGATAGATTGTTAAGGGCAGACCCAAAAGTTGAGCCTAGGAAAGTTGGCTTCAGAGAACTGTCGACCTCTATGCTAACCAGCCTGTCAGTGACAGGACTCGGTAACTCATTATTTCCAAGATCAGTTTTCTTCTTATTAGAACCAGCCCACCATACAGTTGGAAGGGTAAATATTTGTCATGTTTGGCGACAGACGTTGATGGGTTAAAAAAAAAGGTCTTAGGAAAAGTCATGTACTTTCTCTCCCATATTCCTCCATCTGTATTTACTAAGCAAAAAGGTCACTTGAGCACAGAGCTTGGATTTCATGCTTCTAAGCAGCTTCAACGTGGCTGAAACCTTGCTCTACAAATTGACTTTAAAAATATTTTGTAATAGTGTGTATCGGTCTCGAATATGAATGCGCTGGAGTCGTTAAGTGATGATCTTCTTAAATGGGACTTTTGTGACTATATTTTACATAAATACCAGGAATCGTTAAGTGATTTTTTTTTGTTTGTTTTACACTCAAATTGTAGCCTTTCCTCATCACTGTCTTTCCACTCACATTTACTGGAAGGAACTGAGGTTCTGGGAGCCCTGAGCTCTTTGCCTTGTCAGTCAGCTACCTGGCTACACTTTGTGGTAGGAGGGAAGAGAGGGGAGAAGCCTCAGAAGGCTGAAATGGTAAATTACTCTAGGTTCTGGAGAAAAATAGAATTAGAAGCATTTGTGGTTCTGATGAAAATAGCACATTTCCTTTCTGCTTGGAGTGTGTGGGGGGTCAGAGTGCTCCAGAGGATAGAAAATAAATAAAAATTGATCCCTCTCCAGTCAAAGGAGATGCTTTGACTCTGGGAACTGAAATGACAGCTCTAGATTTGAAGATCTCGTGAAACCACTTTTGAAGGTTAAAAAAAAATAACAGCAACAAAAGCACTAAGAGGCTTTAAAAAAAAAAAGTAACATACTATGTTAGGAAATTTAGCCTTTCAGGGATGATTTTATAGCCCTTTTCCAAGACTGAAGAGTAGGTAACAGACCCGGATCATTTTGCTCCTGTTACTGACCATGGTCATTCCATCTCTCCTTGCAGGTGAGAAGCCTTATAAGTGCTCGTGGGAAGGGTGTGAGTGGCGTTTTGCACGAAGCGATGAACTTACGAGGCACTACAGGAAACACACAGGTGCAAAGCCCTTTAAATGCAACCACTGCGACAGGTAAAGAAACTCAGCAGCTGGCGGGTTGGGATGGTGAAGTGGGTCGGAGGGCGGGGTGGTCGTGTGCTCCTGGCTTCCTCACAAGCCTCTCTCGAAGAGACACGGGCCTGGGGATGCCTCTTACTCCTCCATGGAGAAAACCAATGAGATAAGGGTGCCTCCTTGCATACAGTCAAGAGATGATACGGACTCTCGGGTCAGTTACATGAGTATTTCATGAACACCAGCATTGTGATGGTCTCTAGATATTAGTGAGACCTAACTCCTACCCTCGAGGGGATGATGTGACAGATCATTTTAGTATAATAAGAAAATTAATAGGCTACAGAATGGTCACCAGTAGTTTCTGATCTTCTTATTAATATCAATCGATTTTTCTCAATGTGAGAAGTAGAAAGCCTGCATGAAGGAGGGGAAATTAGTTATAAGACTTTCCTTTGAAGCATTGTTAGAAGTGAATTTACTGAAGAGAGTTCCCATTCTTTTGGGGGGCCAGAGCCATCCTTTCTTCTTTGAAAGTAGGTACAAGGGTCAAGATGGGGAGGCTTTGAGAACTCATCCTATAATTCAATTTCAAACTTTCAGCATTTGAGAGTGGAAGAAAGAGCACGTAGCAACAGACACTACACAAGTAATAGTATCTGACAGCCCTGGCATTATCAACCAATAAACCCCAAAATGGAGACTCTGCAGGCCAAGGTGAAGGCAGGATTAGGTTTAGACGTAATCAAATAATGGGCTTGCATCTGAGCGTGTTATCCTTCTAATCCTATTTCTGTGTTTAAAAGGAAGCTTAAGAAAATTAACCATCTTTTTAATGCAATATTAAAGGTCTCGGTTATGATGAGAAAAATGCTTCTAATACGATAAAAGCCCTGAAAGCCTCAGGGTTCCCCGGCTCAGCCCCTCGCTTGCAGGGTGGCAGGAGGGGTGTGCAGGATGTCCGCAGAGGCCTGGCTCTCTGGTGGAGGAAATGCGATCGCTTTTGCATCCTGCCTCCCCCAGCCCCCTCACCAGACCTTCCTCTGGTGCAGAGCAGGACAGGAGTGGCCACGTTTCATGGGTGGCCGGTTGCCTTGGTGCTCCTTTAAGATGCTTATAAAGAAGCATTCACGTTGTTCCTCCCTTTTTTTCCCCCCTTTTTCCTGAAGAGCCTATTTTCCTCTTATCTTCATTCTTGAAGAACTAAATAAAGCCCCCATGCCTTCTGGAGCCCAAAGATAACCTCCCACCCCAAGGCTGAGGAAGTACACTCCGTGAAGCTATTGTCTGCTTGTCCCTTAGAGCTCTCTTCTGTTACCCCCAAATACAACCTGTTTGTCATTTCTGTCCCATTCACCTCAGAGTCCCCCTGAATTTATAGAAATCAGCAGCTATTCTCCTATAGATTATATTTCAGTGATGTTGCTCCTTATTTGAAACTTTCTCTTGATGCCCGTCTCTAACCCTAGTTACTAATTAAAGAAGCTATATAGGTGGTGGCTCTTTGACCACAGTCCTTTGAGGAAGGGCATTATATCAGTGGGGATGAAGATATATCTATCCTTTGTGAGTTATCAGAGTGTGGTGGTAGTAGGTACACATGAGTTGTCCTTCCCTGAAAGATGGTGAGGCTATTACTTTGAAATCATGCTTTATGGATAGCCATAAGCCTTGGAAACAGGCAAAGAATTCTTATAGGGAAACTGCCAGACTTAGTATTCCTCTTAAGTCAACTGAGTTATTAAGCAGTATGCAACTGTCCATTCTGGAGAAGGGGATGACAGAGAATGAGATGGTTGGATAGCATCACCACCTCAATGGACATGAACTTGAGCAAGCTGCAGGAGATAGTGAAGGACAGGGAAACCTGGCATGTTGCAGTCCATGGAGTCACAGAGAGTCAGACACAACTGAGCGACCGAACAACAATGTGTCTGTCCAGCACTTGACTTATTAGGATTAAACCTGACTGATGTGTATGGAGAAATAATTTCAAACTGACCAGGTATTTCAGTGTAGGAGATGTCAGGGATGGGTAGTTCAGTTAGTCTTTTGCTTAATTTTCCTCGTCAAAATACACTCTGGCTTCTGGAGCTAGAAGTTTGCTGAGCAGATGGTACAAACTGTGACATGGTATTTGGGGCAGCTGGCAAGTAGCTCAAACTTCTGTGGCAGGAGAGTCGGTGCCTTTCACCAGTGTCAGAAACCAGGGGGTGGAGCCTCGTTAGTGTCTCCTGACAGGCAGCACCTTGTACTTCAGCTGCAGGAACTGTGCTAAAAATAGAGCAGGTCTGGGAGGTGGCTGGGGAGTTGGAGTGGTCCCAAAGTGATGGAAGAAAAGCCTGGAGTGACCGCGGACTTGGCATTCCCTAGAAGACTTTTAACTTCAAAAAAAGAGTACATTTATAGCCTTTAGCAGAGCACTGGATCCTGTTGGTGCCTCAATATGTATGAGCCTGAGAAATCTATCTCTTGCCTCATATAATTGAATAATCAGGCTACCCTGTGGGCACGCGTGCTAAGTCACTTCAGTCGTGTCCGACGCTTTGCGATCCCACGGACCATATAGCCCACCAGGCTCCTCTGTCCATGGGATTTTCCGGACAAGATTACTGGAGCAGATTGCCATTTCCTCCTCCAGGGATCTTCCTGAACCAGGGGTCAAACCTGTATCTCTTAGGGGTCTCCTGCATTGAAAAGTGGGTTCTTTACCACTAGTGCCACCTGGAAGCCCTCAGACTGTGCTACTTAGAGGCTGAACTAAGTAAGACTGGGGTTTCTTGACCTTAAAGCAGGTACCAAGTCTAACTTGTACTTTTATTTTGCCTATAGGGTAAATTAAAAAATACATGAGTTTCTTGTTTGTTTTGCTAACATTTCAAATTGCTTAATGTCACAAAAATCTCTGTTCCTGGCTTTGAAAAATTGGAAGATCAGGTAACAGTGAACTCACATTCCCAGGTGGCCATAATTTTCTGGAGCTGACTGGCCATCACTGCCTTTGGTGATGGTCCTGTGATTACTTATTTCTCTCTGTTCCCCCTCCCTCACCACGGTCTCCCCAGTACGAAGGCAGAACATCAGTTGTCGTGTAGCATGTCCAGATTATCTCCTCTTAATGAAGAGCAACATTTCTTTATATTCCAAGGTAGAATCAGATGGTTTTGAAATGCTGTGTGTTTCTTACTCTTGACCCATTGCACCCATTTACTTTATCTGCTTGGCCTTAAAGACATTAAGTTTTGTGACTTCAGGTCTGGGGAGGAAGCAGTGAGGTGTTTCTGCTCTCTTACCATCAAACTACGCAGTAGAGCCCACTCAGTGATCAGCTGCTTAAAGGGATGATTGTTGTTTCTCAGCCCACAGAGCAAGAGGCTGCTGATGGTAGTAAGCAGGGCTATTTCCCCAAGTAGCCACATGCAGCTATAACCCAAGGAGCCTGCTCCCAGCGTAGTACCTCCAAGACCCTAGGAAGTTTAGAGGAGGTGTTTTGATCTTTGATCTCTTGGTCAGCCCACTTATAGGTGGTGAGAAACATCAGCCTGTATCTAACCCTTTGGTGCCTGGTGCATTGCTGTTGGCCTAATGCCCATGTGACTTCAGGGGGCCTTTTTCATCAGCGAGAGAAATGACAATAAGGGTTTGACTAGTTCTCTGCAGTAAACAAATTTTAGTCATTAAGAACTTTCTTATTTAAGGTCACCTGACTGCTGTACAGTCCTAAATTCTGAACTAAGTAAGACTGGGGTTTCTTGACCTTAAAGCAGGTACCAAGTCTAACTTGTACTTTTATTTTGCCTATAGGGTAAATTAAAAAATACATGAGTTTCTTGTTTGTTTTGCTAACATTTCAAATTGCTTAATGTCACAAAAATCTCTGTTCCTGGCTTTGAAAAATTGGAAGATCAGGTAACAGTGAACTCACATTCCCAGGTGGCCATAATTTTCTGGAGCTGACTGGCCATCACTGCCTTTGGTGATGGTCCTGTGATTACTTATTTCTCTCTGTTCCCCCTCCCTCACCACGGTCTCCCCAGTACGAAGGCAGAACATCAGTTGTCGTGTAGCATGTCCAGATTATCTCCTCTTAATGAAGAGCAACATTTCTTTATATTCCAAGGTAGAATCAGATGGTTTTGAAATGCTGTGTGTTTCTTACTCTTGACCCATTGCACCCATTTACTTTATCTGCTTGGCCTTAAAGACATTAAGTTTTGTGACTTCAGGTCTGGGGAGGAAGCAGTGAGGTGTTTCTGCTGTCTTACCATCAAACTACGCAGTAGAGCCCACTCAGTGATCAGCTGCTTAAAGGGATGATTGTTGTTTCTCAGCCCACAGAGCAAGAGGCTGCTGATGGTAGTAAGCAGGGCTATTTCCCCAAGTAGCCACATGCAGCTATAACCCAAGGAGCCTGCTCCCAGCGTAGTACCTCCAAGACCCTAGGAAGTTTAGAGGAGGTGTTTTGATCTTTGATCTCTTGGTCAGCCCACTTATAGGTGGTGAGAAACATCAGCCTGTATCTAACCCTTTGGTGCCTGGTGCATTGCTGTTGGCCTAATGCCCATGTGACTTCAGGGGGCCTTTTTCATCAGCGAGAGAAATGACAATAAGGGTTTGACTAGTTCTCTGCAGTAAACAAATTTTAGTCATTAAGAACTTTCTTATTTAAGGTCACCTGACTGCTGTACAGTCCTAAATGCCCTCTGGGGATATATTACCCTTAGAATTACTCAATTCTGCATTTCTAGATGCAGAGTTTATCTATTACTTTTTACTTTACTGTTCCTATGTGGAACTCAGTAAGTATAATTTAATAAATATAAATTAATCATGACTAACTATCCTACTGGTATATTGGATTTAAATAAGACCTCAACGGTGAGGGACCCAGTCTCATTCTAAATCCATGCACTTTCTAGAACTTTAACAAATAATGATGCTAGTTTGATTCAGGAGGGGTGCAATCATATTTTATACCATTTTAAAGAATTGGTTGGTTTTCTACTTTTTTTTTTCTGAAAGAATTTAAAGAGTAAAGATAAATGCTTGTACAGATTGCTAGATACCCAGCACAGGTTAAGCAGTTGGTTAAAGGAGAATGGAAGTATGGAACACATACATACTGAGTGGTTATTTCAAATGAAGTCCTATATCCAGAATGCTGTTGTCCCATGTGACTTCCCTGGTGATCCAATGGTTAAGAATCCACCTGCCAATGCAGGAAACATGGGTTCAATCCCTGGTCTGGAAAGATTTCCACATGCCGTGAAGCAACTCCTGAGCCCCATGAGACCTAATGCTCGTCTCTGCAAAAAGAGAAGCTACCACAGTAAGAAACCTGCATACCTCAACTGGAGAGTAGCTCCCATCTGCTGCAACTAGAGAAAGCCCATGTGCTGCAACAAATACCCAGCACAGCCAAAAATTAATTGATTAATTAATTAAAAAAATACTGCTGGTCCCGTATGTTCTCAGGATGTGGAAAAGAAAAGAGAAAGGTTTTGTACTAGTAGCAAAGACTTCTGCTTTGCTCCTTACCATCTCGAATCCCCACATGCCTCTTTTGGACACAGGGTTCTTGGTACGTGCTCTGTGGCTTTTTCACAGGGCCTTGCTGCTCAGGCTTGACCAGATTAACTTCTGGATTCATTTTCTAGACAGTGTTTCCAGTTGTCACAAGTTTAGTATCACCCTTATTTACCTTTACAGATTTATCATATTACGGTTCCTTGGGTTATAAGTCCAACACAGATCTCCCTGGGGGTAAAATCAAGATGTGGATTGCTCTCCATTCCCTTCCTGAGGCTCCCATTTCCTTGCCTTTTCCAGCTTTCAGCTTTGTCCATGTTCCTTGGCTCCTGACCCCATTTCTTCATCATCAAAGCTATCGAGTCCTTTTCACGCTTCCATCTCTCTAGTTTTCTCTTTTAATTCCCTTTTCCATTTTTAAAGACCCTTGCAGTGACATTGGGTCTACCCAGATAATCCAGAGGAAGCTTCCTATTTGAAAGTCAGCTGACCAGCAAATTAATTCCACCCACAATCTTAATTCCCCTTTGCCTTTGAACCTGACATATTCACAAGTTCTGGGGATGAGGTGCAGGTGTTTGGGGAAGACCATCCATCAATTCTGCCTACTACCAATTCTTTAAACAGACCGTTCAGCTTGACCTTCTGCTCAGCCTGAGAACTAGGCATGGCTGAAAGCATGGGCTCTGGAGTCAAGGCTGTTGGGCTTCAGATTTTGGCTTTGCTTCTTTTTGATGAATATCTCATCTGGTAATGGGGCTAAGAATGGTACCTTCTTTATAGAGTTCTTGTAAGAATGTTAACTTTAGAAAGGAAATACCTACAAAAACAGCTTCCCGACTTAGATCTTCTTTTTCTATGCTGTTGAGATGAAGGAAGGAGAGAAGGAAGCAAGGAGGAGGGGAATGAGGAAGGGAAAGGAAGAGAAGAGGCAGTGGATAGAACTAAGTGTGCCCTCGGCCCAGGACAGTCAAATACTAAATTCCCTGAAGGCTGTACTGCTTTTTCTTACACCGGTGACACCAAGTACTTGCTTTTAAAGAAAATTTATCACTGTTTTATAGTAAATCAAATCCCCTTTAGATGCTATGCCAAGGGATTATTCAAGTATCTTGCTTATACCAAATCAGAGCCCGAAATAAGCACTTATGGTTAGAATTACTGTTATTCAATATGTTACTGGATTAGATCACTTTCTACTCATTATGATAATTTTTTTTTTTCATTTTACTTTGTTCTGTTTCGCTTCATTTTCTTGAGATTCTATCCAGCATGTGTGTCTGAGAAATGAACACAAACATGTGTGGAGAGTGTTGGGGTCAGCAGATAGGGGCAGGAGTTTTCTCTTTCTTTGTTTTAAGAATGAACAAATACAGGGAAATTCTGCCCTGAACAGGAACCCTTGCTGACCTGAGCAGGACAGCTTGCTAATACACCAACTAGAGTTCTGAACTGGAAGGATGTCTCAGGGGACCTCAGAACTTTCTCCCAGGTAGGACAGAGACCAGTTTCTAGGGCTGGATCTGAGGGAGAACTCACACCCAGAACTCAGAATGACTGCTGTCCGATGCACTGACTTCCCTGGGATTCCAGCCCAGGAACCTGAGACTGTATGTAGGCCTCAGAGATGCAGAAATGGCCGCTCTATTAGTTATAAGTAGAGAACCCTGACTCAGTCTTGAGTTAGCTTCCAGGGGTTTTTATTAGCTCCTATAACTAAGAAGAACAGAATTCGATTTGTCTTCACGCTTGGCTGAGTCCAGGTGCTTAGATGTTGTCCTCAGGACTAGAAACTCTTTTCCTCCCTACCCCTTCACCTGTTTTTTTCTGTTGACTTCATTCTCAAATAGGCTCTTTCCCCCGTGGCTTCATGGATACCCGCAGCTCCTATCTTAGTGTCTCCGCCCCAAAAAGAGCATCTCTCTTCCAATAGTTTTAGCAAATGTCCCAGAACTTGCTCTCGTTGACCTTTGTGGATCACTTGACTGTCCCTCAGCAGATCACCATGACCATCATTTCAGCCTTAGGAGGCGGGTTAGCCACACACAACTGAGAATGTGGGAGAGTTACTACCCAGGGCAAAATCAAGTGGGTGATATTAAAAGAAAGGGGAAGGAGTGAAAACAGCCACTGCTTTCACTCTGAGGCCGCCAAAGGGATTCAGTAGTCGACCTTGGGTACCAGACTGTTCAAAGAGTGGGTTTACACTGTCTGGGTTCTCACCCCATGACTGCCACACACTGGCTGTGTGACCCGGCCTCAGGGGCCCTACCCCATGCATGCCCATGAAAAGAGTGTGAAGATTGACCATGGAAGGTTGCTGAGGATGTTTTCTTGTTTCTGTTCAGTCTCTAAGTTGTGTTTGGCTCTTTGTGACCCCATAGACTGCAGCATGCCAGGCTTCCCAGCCCTTCACTCTCTCCCGGAGTTTGCGTAAACTTATGTCCATTGAGTCTAGGGTAGTACTGGAGAAACACCACGCACATGCCCGCATATGACACCATTATCAATAAACATGAGCTTTTCCTCCCTTTGAATGTGGGGTGCCTATATAGACCTGAAGATATCACAGGCAGCATTTCTGGGCTTCCATTGTAAAACTTAAGACTGAAATCTGGGTGTTGAAGTGCTAAGAGTGTCATCATTTGATAGTACAGGCTAATCGTTCCTTTGTAGTGTATGAGCATGGCGCATATTAGTTCCAAAACACTTCTACATTTGTTTCTTCTTTAATAATGACCATCACAATAATAATAGTTAATATTAATCAAGATTTTACCATGTGCTGGGCAATTTTCTAAGCAATTTACATAGATCATCTTACTTAATCCTCACTACCCATCTATGAAGTAAGTGCTCTCATTTTCCCCATTTTATTGAGGAGGAATTAAGACACCAGGCTTCCCCGATGTCTCAGATGGTAATCTGCCTACCATGCAGGAGATCTGGGTTGGATCACTGCATCAGGAAGATCCCCTGGGGAAGGGAATGGCTACCTACTCCAGTGTTCTTCCATGGACAGAGGAGCCTGATGAGCTACAGTCTGTGGAGTCGCAAAGAGTTGGACAGAACTGAGCGACTAAGACTTAAGACCCTGAGAGGTTAAGGTGTTCAGTCACACAGCTGTTGGAGGAGATGAACCCAGGCAGTTTGACTGCTGAGCTCACCTGCCCGATAAACCTTGTTTCTCAATATACACACACTGCCTCTCTCTCTCTTTTAGGGCTGATCATTTTCTGAGGGGTGATGGAAGTTCAGTTCTTGATGCAGATCTCTCTAATATCCTTGTTTTTCTTATCTTCCCTAGGTGTTTTTCCAGGTCTGACCATCTTGCCCTCCATATGAAGAGACATATCTAAAAAACCTGAAGGCCAGAGTTGCCATGGCGTCGGCCGGCCGTTGTCTGAAGGAAATGCCATGAGGCGGGGGCTGGACTTCAGGCGGGGATCCATTGCCTCGCAGAAGAAAGTTCTCACTTATTAAACCTCTGTGTACACACACCACACACACACACACACACAGACACACACACACGCACTCACACATAGACACACACACACACAGTCATGCACTCAGCTATATTTAAAATATATACGTCTATCTTTATGCCTTGCCCTAGCCAGATGGTAGAAGAAGAAGAAGAAGAAGAAGAAGAAGAAAGAAACCAGGTGAACTCAGCAAGGCAGTCTGGCTGCTTACTTCAGCACTATTGGAATTATTTCCCGCTGTTGCCAATGGAAATCAAAAAAAATGGATGTGACGTCTCTACAGGTGGACGGCAGTAAGAGGGGCTTATTTAACTTGCTTCTCAGTGCAACTTGATAGGAGAATACAACGTCTTAAAGTTGCATATGTGTAGCACTAATGTTTCTTTTTCAATAGTTGGGGGAAAATGACCTAGCAAACCAAATTGCAGTTTGGTAGCCAAAATTAACTCTCGGTTTATTTGTCCTTTGTGTGTGAAAAGTCCTACTATTCCGTGCGTCCGACTTCCTCACAGAACTGTTGATCAGTTTTGGTTCTTAGTACTATTGAGATCTTTCCAGTCGATACCAACGGCCTTAGCGGCGGCAGACTCCGGAATAACACCTTACACCTTTCTGGCCTGCATTTCTCTAGACTTCACTCTCCAGGTCTCCAGGGAAGAGTGTTCTTTTCTTACTTTTTGACTCTTGCACACCATATGCACTAGGGATTCTGGAAACTTCTAGCATGACTGCAAAGTGGCCAAGAGAATAAAGTCCTTGATGATCAATCACAGTGTATCCCTTGAGCCTCACCTTATTGCCAGTGCTAGATTTTTTCTTTTTAATCTCTCTGTTTTTTGCTAACGAAAACTTGAAAAGCTTATTTGGAAGCTTAAATGTTTTATCTTTTCTCCATGGACTAAACCTCTCCAGGACTCTCTCTCGTCACCTGGATGTCCAGCTCTCGAAGCAGCCAATCAGATGGGACATCACACTCCTTTCATCCCCCTTGAGGCATCCTGACCTCAGCTCATAGTGATCAACCCCTGCTGTGTGTCACTGCTACCCTAACAACCAGTTTCAGCATAGATGTCGCTAGTCTCAAAGGGCAGCTGCATATTGAACGTAACTCTGGGTTATGACCTGACAAAAAAGCCAAAAATATCCCTCTTTCCAGGAATGGGGAGAACGGAGGATGCCTCCCAAGTCTAGTGGCTTCAGAAACCATCACCCTCTCTTCCTGTCTCATACCCACTGAGTCATGTCACCCCACTTGTTAAAATACACAATTCAAAATGCTGTTGTGGGAATAAAGGGTGGACATTTAAGGAAAGGGTTGAGATATTTCTCTCATGGTCTATCTAAAAGGAGAGACATATTTCTGATTTTTTAATTTTTTTGGCTAGGCCCACCATGACTTGTGCCCTAGAGCACCTGGGATCAACAGAGGCCTCACTTTTACTCTGCAAGCTGACTCCGAGGGGGTTCCATGCCTCACTCTCCATCCCCCACACACATCCAATATCGGTCTCCATCATCTACCCGCATTCTTAGCTAGCTGGCACTGGCCTCAACTCCAAAGACTGCCTTTAGGACCATTAAATGGCCTATGCAAGCAAGCGGGGTGGTTATTAGGGCAGATTGTATATTTTGTATATTCTGGGACCATCCCTTCAAGACACGTCTAAAAAAACAAAAATGGCATTTGGTCCGCCCATGGTTGCTGCTCCTTCATACCAGCTGGCTCCTCTCCTGCCCTCCTTTGACTGTTTGACTCATTGACTGTTAAAATGCTACCCCATACCTATTTGGGATGCAAAACTGAAGTCTTTGAAAGGAAATATAAGAAACACAGATTCATTTATGACAGCAAACTTCAAGATCCTTGGCATTTGGTTTCTCAGCTTTCTGCAAACTTTGATTTCACTGAAATGTTGAAACTACTCGTCTGAGGGCAGAGGAGCCTCCTTATCACAAATGCTGTAGCTGCCAATTGGACACTTGGGGCATTCTGAGGTCTGGCCCTTCAAGTTTTCTTTCTCTTTTTTCCTTTTTTTTCAATTTAGACCAAAAACAAAAAAAAAAAAAAAGAAAGAAAAAACCACCCTAAACACACACACAAAATCTGCCCATTTGCCAGAGGCAATTATGTATATGTTAGTCAGAGGGTATTTAAAAAAATCAGTTTTATTCCAAAGATTTAAAACTAGACATGACTTAGAAACATTTCTGGAGCACTGCTTGCTGACAATCTCGTAGTTTTCTCGACTGCATTCGAGTGCGTTTGTAGCCAGTCCATCAGGGCGGACCATGGGATTATATTTGAATGTGTGGCTCATCCTTTCTGGATGAAGGATGTGTGAGGGACCTTGAACCTCAGCTGTATTAAACTGTAGCGCCTCCAGTCAGTGCACTAGATGAAACTTTAGACACCCCAGATTTTGTTGGTTCGTTGATTTCCCTTTCTAGAGCAGCCTCCAGCATGACTGCACGCACAGTCCCAGTGATGGCATTAGCCGTGGCTGCCACGATTTACAAATGTTCTCTCCCCCGCTGGAGCTGCTCTTGCCTCTCGAAATGCTATTATTAAGGGTTTATAATACTTAATTTAATTTTTGAACTGACCAATGCAAGGCTCTATTAAAAAGAAAGTTTAAAAAAATGCAAAAGAGTAATCATTGCTTGTTCGCTCCCCGTTGTCATCTGTGGTCTTGAAAAGATCTCATTTGAATGTGACAGAACAAAGGCCCTTGGGTCTTCATCAGTGTCTGAAATATTGGGCAATTCCTCTCTCTTTTATATCAGTGAGGTCCTTTGTAATCTGCTCCTGACCTTTCTCCAAGCAGGGTGCACTGAACCTCGATGGTGGGGCTTGCTAGCTCCAGGCATTTGTTGACCGAGAATTGGCCTGAGAATTTGGTGGGTGCTAAGCGTATGGCTTTGAAACTGTTCTTCTGTAGCTTGATTGACACCTCTGAATGATAACCAGTCCTGTCTGTTGTGGGGTGGGGAGAGTGGTAGCCCCAGTTATTTGGGCATGTTATCAAGTATCCATCCTCTCTGAAATGGCAGAGATGGTTGGAAGGAGCCTGTTGGAGTGAACAGGCTTTCTGAGAAATAACCTGAAGCTAGTTTGCTTCCAAGAGGACAGGTTATTCAAAGCAGTGCTTTAGTGGACAGTTGAAACACATTAAACTATTTTCTCGTTTAAATGGTTAACTCCCAGCATTCCAGGAGATCTCCAATTTGAAAGGAAAAACCTGTCATGGTGTTTCTTGTAGTTGTCCTCCGAAGCACGCTTTATCCAGGGTTCAGAGTGTAATGTATAGAAAAAGAGTGTTTCGAAGCCATTGACAGTTTTCTTTATTTCAATTTGTGCTTCTTTCTCCTACCACATGACTGTAAGTCAAAGATGTGGAAACCTGAAATTATAATATTGCTCCTCGCTACTGGCCTCCTGCCCCACTGATGGTTCATTGGCCCAGCTTAATGCCTGGTGGTGATGAGTATTATGTCCAGAAAAAGAGATGTTTGGATTCCATGACAAAGCTGCGTTTTATAAATATATCGGAGACCCCCCCAAAATGAACCTTCATGCTGACCATTTCCTTCTCCTCTCTGTGCTCTCCCTTGCAAAGCCCTTCAAGTATCCCCTGTCCACCCATTCTGCACCTCTTGTGCCCTCTTTACATCTTTGATTGCCTGACGATAACAGGGTAAAAAAGACAGCCAACCTCGCGCATGATTAGTAGAACTGATTCCTATGTTTTAAAAAAATCTTCTTTGAATCTAGAAGCCAGAGAAGATTTTTTTTTAAGGACTTCAGTTTGGGATAAGCTTCCAGATTAGCCATGTCTATTTGCATCAAAGGGGAAATAAATGGGACTTGCAGGGCGGCTCACCCAGTGCATTCAGGACGTCTGCCTGTAGCCCCAACTCCTGAACTCTATGGCAAAGTCAAAAGACATGAACTCAAATGGCAAGAACAGCAGAACTTAGTGATTAATGTTACTGGTTCATAATGGTTTCCTGTATGGAAGTCACTTCATAAAATATAAAATAGAGTGCAAAGTGAAAAATTGCTTCTCTTTTGCATGAGTTGGTTTTAGGAGAAGGAAGAAGGTTAGGAAAGGCGGAGATGCAACATATGTAACTACAAAAACCAGGTTCATTGTTCCTTTTTTTTTTTTTAAATCTTATGAGGTCCAGCATTTCTGGCCACAGTTTTGCACCCAGATCTTTGCCAAAGTGAAAATTCATTAAGTAGAACCTGGTTGACATCTACCTGGGGACGCTTTCCCTGGCATCTTCCTGAAGTGGCCACTGCCAAGTCGGGGGTGGAGGCAGGAGGAGAGAATTTGCATTCCAGCTCTGGGTTGTGTTTCGGTAAACATGGTGATATCTCAGTTTGAAAACTGGAGGGGCTGTTCTGAGTGTACATCAATGCCTCTTTGATGGTCTACTTTCCTCAGTGAGGATCTTTGGGAATACTTGAGATGGAACAACGAAAATGTGTCAAAGGAAGCAAAAACTCCTTGTAAATGTGAGATCCCATGACTAACTGCCTGAGGCTTCAGGGTTTTCTCTTGCTTTTAACACTCGCTTAAATCTCCTCTGTTGGTTCCTAATGGATCCCGGTAAAGGGAAAAATAAAGCTGCAATTGAACTTTCTTACGTGCACCCTTCCAAGGTAGTACTGTATTCTTCAGGTCTTTTGCATTTACGTGTAAGTGCTCGGGAAACAGGTATCAAAAATGGAGAGAGAAATCCCAGGCCGTCACTTCACAAATATCCCAGACGAGATACTCTTTTTCAAACAGGGCTCCCTCTCAGCAGTCACGAGGGGACGTTGATGCGTTCTTTGTTGGGGACTGTTTATACAATTTTTTTTTTCAACTGTGAGCTTTGGAATCGTAAACTGCTTTGACTCCAGCTTCTGTCTACTGCCATAAAAAAGGACCCCACATCAGAATAATGAGGGTGGTATGTGTGCACGCAGCTAGACTCGTGTGCGCATGTACCTAATGTACCTTCGCAGAAGGAAAACAGTTAGGCTACTGACGTTTACGGGGAGTAGCCACCAGTGCCTAATATCTTTTGGGGGGATGGATGCTTATAATCGCCAGTATATTGAAAACACACTGGGAGTTCCACATAGACGGGAGGGGCTGAGGGTGGGGAGAGGGGACATTTTAACCCCAGGCCTTTGGGCTCCAGGCAGGATGATTTCTGCAGATCTCGGTCCTGAAAGGCTTTGGGGCTCATTGGCTGGTCCTCAAGCTTTTTATTTTTGTTTTTCTCAGCATGCATTTCTGATCTGAACCCAGACTTAGTTGAATTTCTTTATCTTTCACTTCTGCTTCATTCCAGGGAGGAAAAATACACCTGTTATGGCCAAGATCTCCTTGATAACACAGAGGCAAAAATAAATGTTTAATGTTTTGAAGCCTCCCCGTTCCTTTCCATAAATCTCCCCAAACTCCTTCTCTCTCACACCCTCTCCCTCCTCCCACCACATGGCTTCCTAGCCACTACCGCTTTTCTTTCAAGTCTCTCGTATCCTCTTAACAGTTGCTTGAAGAACTTTGATTTTGCACTATACATTTTCTTTTTGCCAGATGTGTCTAACAAGTGTGTTTGGAGAGACCTACTCCCAGCCCCACCCCTCCCCCACCTCCCTCGGTCACATGCTCTCAGGCCTTCTCTGGTATTTATAATATATCACAGAAGTACCCAGTCTTATAGCCCTCGGTTATGCCTTTTTTTGACATTTTATTTTTTTTAAGCTTTTTATATATATATATATAAATATATTACTTTGTCAAGTTTTTTTGCTGTACAAAAGTCTTAAGATTTAAAACTATTATTTGTATTATATGATGGTGGTATGTTAATGTTACAAAATTATTAATGAAGAAAAAATTTATTTTTGTTACTGGTCTGTTTCATAATTCTTTTTTAAATTGGTATATTGTAAGATATCTATGCAAAAAATGTTATGTGACGCATTTTTATTTAAGAATGTAATATGTGTAATAAACAGTAGAATGTGTTTGGCCTTGGAATGCCTTACTGTATTTCTCCTTAGCTTATTTCATTGGAGAGGGGAAAAAAAAATCCTCAAAGAGACTAAAATGGGCCCTTATATGCCTCATGAGAGTTTTCTTTCTCAGAGAGAGAAAAGGAAGGTGAAAGATTGTATTAGGTCATGTTTCTTTGTTTTGGGAGGCTGTTGGGTATGTATGTGTGTACCCGCATGTGTGTGTGTATTTTATGATTTCAGTGAGGTAGCTCAGAGCCCAAATAAGAAGGAACACTGAAGGCAGTTTATTTCTTCAAGGAGAGGAAGACAGCAAATGGTTGGAAGTTATGAAAAGCAATATTTTAGAACGAAGTGGATTGTGGGATGTTATTTGTTTTGGGGGTTAGGAGCAACTTATTGAAAGCAGTTTATTTGGTGAGAGAAGGGGAAAGATTGTTATGGGATGGCATTAAATACAGCAGCTATGGAAACGATAGCTTGAAGCAGTTGGTGGAGGAGGGAAGAAGAACAGAGGTGAGTGAGAAGGAATAATTGAGGTAAGGGGTCGGAGAGTCAATTTATAGGGGAAGATCAGTGGCAAAGTGGGGACGAGATGGCTCACCAGAGACAGAGCCATGTATGTGGCTAGGCATAGTACAAGAAGGTAGGTGCAAACATAAGCAGCCTCGAACACTGAAGAGGAGCTGGAGAGCCTGGGAAAGATTCTCAGAACAGAAAACAATACTTACTAAAATTTTTCTTCCATACACTTCCAGGAAAGAACATCCACATTAGCATGAAGGCAGAGAACCTAGTTGATGCTAGAATCGTGGGACCCCTCACAGAGCGAATCTCTGAAAAAGTGCTACCATTAACGGAGCAGCAATGAAGTCCTCACTCACCCCCTACCCAGGACACAGGGCTCTCAAGCTTTCTTTTCACACTTTGGGTTTACAGAAACAGTTACAATGGCGAATCACGTCTGTCTCTCCTCAGATGAATCTGATGAGAGAATTTTCTATTTTCCCATTGAAGATCGTGACTGTAGTGACTGAACTTGCTGCGTGGGGCACAGGCATGTCTCTGAACAGGAACACGGGTGTGAGGAGTTTTGCAGTGAGCTGGGAAGGGAAACAGTGATTGTGGCCTCACCCTAATAAAACTGAAGGGAAAAGAACAGTAGATGCTTCAGGGGTCAGGAAAATGGTTGTGACAGTTGTAAACATCTGCGCCCACATCTTTCAAGTAGGCAGGTGAGCTGGGCAACAAGGCAACCAGACAACTGAAAGCCGCCTGGCAAAAAAACTACAGGCTCCGGTGGGAAAAAAAAACACTGGCCCCAGAGTCCATGGCCCTATCTCTTGGTCCTTGGTCATTTAGTAGATCCATGATTTGTGAAGTCATTCAACCATCTCATACCCAAAGTCATTGGCTTAGAAATCAGTTTGTTCAAGGAAGGATAGGATAACATTGCTGTATTATTTAGAACAAGGCTTATTTTTCTGTAAGAATGAGCCTGACATCAAAGCATATCAAATTGAACATTTCAAGTGGGGGACAACATACACTGTGCTGAGATTATAAGAGGGGAAGCTGGTAAGTCTAATCTTTTTGCCATAATGAAAGGAGATGGTTTACATAATTGAATATTCTAGGTTCAGTTCAGTTACTCAGTCATATCTGACTCTTTGTGACCCCATGGAATGCAGCACACCAGGCCTGCCTGTTCAGCACCAACTCTCAGAGTTTGCTCAAACTCATGTCCATTGAGTCAGTGATGCTGTTCAACTATCTTATCCTCTGTCACCCCCTTCTCCTCCTACCTTTAATCTTCCCAGCATCAGGGTCTTTTCAAATGAGTCAGTTCTTCGCATTAGGTGGCCAAAGTATTGGAGTTTCAGCTTCAGCATCAGTCCTTCCAATGAATGTTCAAGACTAGTTTCCCTTAGGATGGACTGGTTGGATCTCCTTGCTGTCCAAGGGACTCTCAAGAGTCTTCTTTAACACTACAGTTCAAAAGCGTCAATCATTCAGTGTTCAGCTTTCTTTATGGTCCAACTCTCATATGCATACATGACTACTGGAAAAACCATAGCCTTGACTAGACAGACCTTTGTTGGCAAAGTAATGTCTCTGCTTTTTAATATGCTNTGAAGCCTGCCTTGGAGAATTTTGAGCATTACTTTGCTAGCATGTGAGATGAGTGAAATTGTGCAGTAGTTTGAACATTCTTTGGCATTGCCTTTCTTTGGGATTGGGCTTCCCTGGTGGCTCAGAGGTTAAAGCGTCTGCCTGCAATGCGGGAGACCTGGGTTCGATCCCTGGGTCGGGAAGATCCCCTGGAGAAGGAAATGGCAACCCATTCCAGTATACTTGACTGGAGAATCCCATGGACGGAGGAGCCTGGCAGGCTACAATCCATGGGTCACAAGAGTCAGACATGACTTAGCGACTAAACCACCACCACCAGTATTATGAGTCTTTCTGAGTCTGAATATTCTAGATGACTGAATTTTCCATATTTAGAGATATAACTTTTGTTTAAAATATGTCTAAAAATACATTACCCACTTCACAACCCTTCAAGCATCTGTTTTTGTCATATAACATAAATTCAGGTATGACTACAGATGGTCAGGTTGTCTGACCCAACACTAAAAGACTCCAGTCTTAACAATGAGTGATTCTAGTTCTTCTGTTACATCCTCCCTATTTGTAAGTTACAAGTTCTTTGTGTTTCCCTCTAGCAATGTTTATCTTCTCCTCAACGCACAGATCAAGAAAGCAAGCTTGGTAACTTAGTAAGTGCAAAAAATAACTATAATTCTAGTTTCACAGGCAACAGTCACTAAGTGTACCCTGGGTAACCTGGGGAGTAAAGCGAATAGGTTTTGTGACGGCTCTAATCTGAGGTTACATATTTGATTGGAAATTCTGTGCTTATAGAAAGGAACCTTGTAAAAAGCAAAGCTCAGTGGAACGGATAAATAATTTAGTATAGTTGGCTCATCTTCAATTTAGGATTATAGGTTTAGAAGAGAAAATGTCTAAAACTTTTAATTGAAAGAGAATTTTGAGGTGACTGGTGAATGATGATGGTTTGGGGGGTTACCCATTATGAACCAATTGGTGATTCCTTCTTCAACATTAAACTTTTTATCCCTGCTGTTCAAAACTATTGATATTGACTCACTTGAATGTAACCTATTGTTTTCTTAAAAATTCAGCTTAACCATCATATGATTAGATACCACCCCAGTATACTTAAAAATACTGAAGCAACAAAGAACTACAAGAGGTAGTGGAGAACAAGATTTATATTTGATTAGAACTTTCCCTTCACATACACTGCATTTGAGCCACGCAATAAGACTGCGTGATAACGGCATAGGTATCATTCACTACCATGGCCCTTTGCCTTCACAGATAGAGACACTGGACTCAATAGATAGAGGGCATGTGACTTTGTGAAGGTCCAGGGGACAGCATTGGCACATAAGTCTTCTCACTCTGGATTTTCCTCTACCCCTTACTCTTCTTTGGTGACCCAGGAACCAAATTGCTGCTTCTGCATGTCTAGCCATGTCATCCCCATTGACAACAATGACTTAATTTCCCAATTTCCCTCCCTTTAGTCACAGATGGTAACCTATGCTGCTGCTGCTGCTGCTAAGTCTGACTCTTAGCAGTGTCTGACTTTGTGTGACCCCATAGACGGCAGCCCACCAAGCTCCCCCGTCACTGGGATTCTCCAGGCAAGAACACTGGAGTGGGTTGCCATTTCCTTCTCCAATGCTTGAAAGTGAAAAGTGAAAGTGAAGTCGCTCAGTCGTGTCTAAATCATCACTTGCTAGAATTGGAACAGATCTTGGTGATCTCTTTTAATGCCACCATTGTATTTGAGTATACTGGTGCTCCTAGAGGAGGAAATGGCAACCCACTCCAGTGTTCTTGCCTGGAGAATCCTATGAACAGAGAAACCTGGAAGGCTGCAGTCCATGGCGTTGCAAAGAGCAACTTGGCAGGCATGCATGAACATACTGGTGCCCAGAGAGGTTTTTTACCCTCCCAGTGTCATCCAGCACACCCTTTGCAGAACAGGAGGCAACCCAGGGTTATTGATATGCAGTAATGATCAACTAGCCTTGGCCATGCTTCTTAAACTTTAGTCGCTTGAATATGGCCTTTGAGATTCTTGTGATATCCTTGCACAAATACTTCCTTAATATTTTTCTTCAAGTCAACCCCATTTTTAAAATCTTAAACATCTATTTTAGCTTTTAGCAAAAATTTCCTTTGTCTAAGTAAAAACACTGATTTGACTGTTTCCCCTTTAAATATAATTGACAATAAATGTATAACTCAAAAAATTCACATAATTGTGTTACAATTGTAAGACTCAATTACTACTGGCAGTATTGGAGAGGCATCATTCTGTGCCATTCTCTAAAATCTATTCTGTGCCATTTCTCTTTAGCTAATTATTTAGTCCATATGATGCTCCTTGGAGCACATTTCAAATTGAATCTAAGACTAAGTGCATGTGAAAATTTAATAAAGACTGATTTGATGACTGGGAAGTTACTTAAGGACCCAGAGGTCTCTTAGGAGGAAGAAGATAATGCAGCCGTGAGTGGAGTGAGAGTGTTTTCTCTGCCTTGCTTTCCCATCCTTGGAACACCCATCTTCCCTCATTGAAAGGCGCTTTCAGTGGACGGGCTCATGGCCAGGTCATGCCATTATTCTGGGAATGGAGCCCTGAACATCATGTGTTGACCGCATCAAGGAAATCACCCTTTCCTTGTGTCCCCCAATGTCAACAATCAATGCCTAGAAACAAATGCATGCCATGAAATATGGCATCAAAGATGCGTTTAACTTCACGGCATGTTTCCTGGGATTCCCTGCCCACCACATGTATAGGCACATATACCCATGATTCAGCCCCCAAAATATTCTTCCAAGCAGCTTTCGGGAGCCTGGTATTCTACTATTAAAATCTTTTTATTTGCCCAAACACTTCTTTATTTTAAAATTTCAGCC